GTATTAGTATAGCTATATATAGGTAAACAAGAATCTGTACCTAAGTTTGAGCAAGCATGTAACTATGAATATACTATGGATTAAAATTTCTTTATTTGTGTGTGTGTATTTCTTCCTTTTAAGCGCCCATCCAGGGTCACAAGGCCTGGACATACTTCGATCACTATGATCAGTATGAGCTCGCGAGTGAAAGGAATACTTATCGAACAGGGTACCGGCAAAGTTAAACCGACTGTATACCTTAGTGAAACAAACACGTGAAAAATATCTAACTTTATATATATATATATATATATATATATATATATATATATATATATATATATATATATATATATAGGGTACTGCCATGTATAGGTTATGGGTACATTGAATTTCACTCGATTCAATAATAGTTGAAGGGTCTTGCAGATGGAAATTGTCGAGTGGAAATTTATATAAATTTATTAGTAATATAATATAATTTTCATGGAATATAATTTCAACTAATATAATTTCATGGAATGAATTTAAGTGAAATTGGGTGGTAATTGAATTGAAATTGAATTGCAGTTGAATGACAATCGAATTGAAATGAATTGGAATTGAAATGAATTAGAATTAAATTTTAAAATGAATCTAATTAGAATTGAATTGGCTTTAATTTAAGCTGGAATTGGAGTTGAATTAAATTGGAATTGAATGGCAATTGCATATGCTGGCATGGAATTAAATTTGAATTGAACTGGAATTGAATTTGAAGTGATTTCGATTGGAATTGAATTGGAATTGAATTACGTTAGATTTGAGTTGGAATTGAATTCAACTGAATTGGAATTGAACTCAACTGAATTTAATTGAATTGGGATTGAATTGGGATTGAATTGGAACTGGAATTGGATTCGATTGCATTTTAATTGAGTTGGAATTGAATGGAAATTGAATAGCAATTGAAATACATTGAATTGGATTTTAATTGGGATTGAATTGAGTTAGATTTGAATTGAATTCAATTGAGCTGGGATTGAATTCAATTGAATTAAAGCTGATTTGGAATTAAATTTTTGAATTATGAATTAATTAATTGAGTTATGATATGTCCAGCGTGTTTGTTGTACAATATAAATAAAGAAAAGTTACACAGTTTTTTATAAACATTTTTAGCATAATTTAGACAAAAAGCGAGCGCTGCTAATAACATAATCTATAAAGGGATAACTGCATTTCATAACTTTCCAAACTCCAACTGAATAATTTTAAAAACGAACGCGAGACGAACGCTACAACGTCTTCCAACCATCTCAAAATTGTAGTAATAGTGAAATTAAATTCGACTGCCATTCATTTCAATTCCAATTCATTAAATGTAGTAATGATTATGAACATTTGTACAATATTGACATTTTTAACTAATATAGTAATAGATATTGTAATTTCAGAAAAGTAGTAAATAATATTATAAAATACTAAAGCTCATGTTACACGAGGCAATTTTTACTGCAACTTGAAATACAATTTCTGGCAAAAAGCCGTCCACGTTACTACCATTTGCAAGCAAGCCGTCCACGTTACATCTAAGCTTAGTCTCAGAAAGTAGTGAGCATGAGCAAAGGTTGACTCTATGCCGACATTTTCAGACCGAATTTATATAAAATCGTAGCTGCAACTAATTATTATGTAACAACTGGTCTTACTGGCGAAAGTATAGGGATCCTTGCAGGATCTCGAGATGCTTAAGTGACAAAATCGTTATCATGCTGCATAACGATTTTTGAAAAGATATTCCGTTCAGGAATCAAATTTGTAGATATTTACCTGTTTCAGTGTTTCTGATTTTCGTCGGGTGCAGAATTGGAATCCATTTTTCAAATGTTTATCGAAAGTCCATATTAAATAATAGAAAATTTGACCTATACACCAGTATGTGTAGAACAATATAAAGTATATTTTACTGTATTTAATGTTATGCCATATGTTCACCGTATATTCCACGATGTTTAACTATAATGTCTTGTATCTTTTCATGCAATATTGACTGAGATAACTGTGTTTAAACTTAAACAAACATTATATTTTTGGAACCGCCGAGAATTAGCTGAAAGGCCCTATTAAAACCAATTGAATAACCGTTACCATGCTTGCGATTATTGTTTCAATTAGTGGGTTGGTTTGACGAGGTCAGTTGTTCTGGGTTCAAACTTTGTTGAAAGAAATCTCGACACGAGAGAGTACCTCCAATTGATTGGTACAAGTCTATGCACGATTCAAATAACTCCGGCTCTGAAGCACAATTTGACAGAGCTTCATGAAGCGATTGTTACAGCATGCCGCAACTTGAAACAGCAAATGATCCAAAATTCTTTCGATTGTATGATTTCACGGGCAAGACGTTACATACGTACTGGCGGACATGCATTTACTGATGAATATAGACGATTGTTTTTGAATCACAAGCGCGAACGTACTGACAAAGTATAATGCATCTCAACACAAGTTATTGCATGTTGTATGTATTAATATTTAATAAGCCATTTTTAGCTAATTTCGTCGTTCCAAAAATGTTTACACCTGTTTAAATGCATGTATCTTTGTTAATATGGCATCGAAATGTGCACTGAATGCCATTAAACTTGTTTTTGTGTCATAGCTCTTTTAGTTTTGATTTTTCAGCAATTCAAACAGTACTTTTTTGCCCCACCCGGTATATATAATTATTTATTGTTTTAGTATCATTGCCTATTTAAATTCAGTCAGCTTAAACGTATTTGTGAAATACGTTCTTCATTCTTCAATCTTATCGCTAAGGCAGAATGTTCCTTAGGGTCCATGCAAGATCTCGAGATGCTATATACTTGCCCAGGCACGAAGGAGCCTGACTGACGGGGAGAGCGCATGAAGGTAGCCATGCAATTAACGGTCGATCCCGGTGTAGGTATAGACGATCTCAAAAAGCTGCGATGTGAAGGATATTCAACAAGTTGAAAAATATAAGCAGAACTTCGACGGGCAAACGTCGAAAATAAGCAGACATTGACAGTACTTTTAATTCTCACTTTATTCGATGGTTTCATTATTCCACATCATTCAGTTTGGCATCTACTGGAACAGTAGTCGCCATATGCTGTCGACAAGAAGATTAGATATATGTATGCAGTGGACGGTTCACTTCTCCTGCAAACAGGCTCTTTATTTAGGTTAAAGCTCGCGCATCTACGAAAGTTTCCGAACTGTAATTTACGATAAATGGTGATCCAGTAGATGCCATGTACACTACAGCGTACCTATTTTTTGAATTGTTCGTAGCTTCCATACTAATTTATCATGTTATGTGATTTACATTTTTTGTTTACACTTTGTTTTGACTATAAACACGCCTCATTGGTTTATTTTTGTCATGTGATCGCTTTTATATGCACAAGTCACTAGTATATAAAAGCACAAGTAAATCTTCCGATACACGCTACGTAATAACTTCCCAACGGGCCTTCGCTCGAAACGTAGAAGATCTACTAATTTATTTTTCTGGTCGTTGTATCCTTCACGTACCCCGCAGTATTTTTCAAGTGGAATTCAGATGGTATTGTAGCCTTAGTTTAGGCACTTTGAGGTGAAGGGCTACACGATATAGCATATTGATTTCCTTACATCTGAGGATCTAAAGAGGAATTATTTTTAAATTGAAAGAAAATTTAAGCTGCATGTTTTGTCGTTCGAGTTTGGTACAGTATGTAGGACAAGGTGCCTTACTCGGTAGTCTAGCCGTCTAGATTCATGGTACACACAAATTTAATTTAATAACAGCACCGTCTGCATCAATTTTGCTATCGAAATTGCAGGAGGAAGGCCTTAATTGTAATTCATCAAATAACGGTATGAAACGGTCGACATCAAAACCAATACTGGGAATTGTGCAAGACTTCTTTGTAGATTAACATTAAGTCCACTTGTCCTAACAAAAATTCCGTATTTAAGTTTTAATGAGCAATTTTATCTTTATGTATAGCGATAGGTGGGAAACATGATCCGCCTACCTACTCATCTACCCCCTCCGGCATCCCCCAGCTCCGCGGTCCCTATCTTTTCTAGATGGGAATGACTTTTGGAAAGATCAGGTGCGAAGACAAATTTATAGATACACGATCTATCATTCTTATTACTATTTTGCTGGCTGGTTAAAACTGGTTTCCGTTTGGTTGTGATGTTTCACTAATATTTCAGCAGTCGGTAAAGACTAAACTCCTTTTACCGCCAGGCGGATTTGTTCGTGCCAAGTGATGTTTTCCTTTGTCGGCATCGTCTATCACGTCAGCAAAAACGATGCCGACAAACGAATTAAAAAGTCACCGTTCACGCGAACAAATTCGCCTACTAAACGGGTAGAGGGTCTGTTCATATATGATCGATTTTACCGAGAACGTTTAAAAGGGACGAATATTTCCGTGCGTTTATATGGTCGTGGAGTTTTTCACCGCGGCCGAGAAGGAATTACAATCTAGCCTATATCCATGATTAGCACTTGCAATTCAGTCATGGAACACAAATATTTAGCGATTTTGATGATTTCCTTAATTTATTTGCAATTAAGGGAAAGCATCATTATCATACTTCTCTCTACAAACAAAGATAAAAAACACAAGCAAAAAGTGTCAGCCTGTCTAACGGCAATCCCGGTTAGACTGCGTATAGCAGGCGTTTATCTACGAACAGCGACAAGAATTATTTTTTGCCGCCCGTAACTAAACGACTGATACACAAGCTACATGCCAGAAAGTGGTCTTGCGTGTACATATGGAAATTTTTTTCATCCTTTCATATATATAGTATGTCTGGTTTTCAAAGTAACCTACTAAGAGGGGAGATCATAGGTAGGCATCAGTAAGCTGGCTCATATGAGCAGGTCCTGAATTTGCATACCACAAATAACTAGAACTTGATGCAAGAACCCGCAGTTAAGCTGTTTTCACATCGATAGCCATCTCGAAGCAGCTGAGACAAAATGGATTCCACTTCCAGGGAAAGCATCATTATCATACTTCTCTCTAGCAGATAACTTGACTCTACTGGTGATACTCTCTTCGGTAAATCCTTATCAGAACTTGTTTGACCCGGGATGTACGTAATGTATAGAGCCAAGGATTGATACAGGAATGAATTTGAATAACAACGTTAAAAATATGGAGCCACTGAATGTAAAATGTAACATTTCCATGAAATACATAGTAAACACGAAATATAATTGAAGGTAGCCATGTTGCAATAAAAACAGCACAAATATACAGGATTGTTCTGTTCGTTTTGGCACGTTGAATGTTACTTTGTCTGGTCATGTGCACCGGAATATCACTTTGATTGTGTTGAACTGCCACGATTTGTCGACGCAGGTTGCGATTCTGAGCTTGGATTATCACGAAGATCATAATTTGAAGAATTAATGTGAGAGAAAATATAACACTGATTATAATTGGAAATTTTGCAGATTCTGACTGCCCATCAAAATACACCCAAACTGCCATGCCAACAGCGGCAGAGAAGATTGTTACTAAACAGCCATACATCTTCATTTCGGTGATGTGGTTTGCGTAGTAAAACGGAAATTTGACTGACAAATATCTGTTGAAGGTGATGCACAGAAGACTTAAAGATCCTGACGTAAGAGTGAAATGTGACGTGATGTGAAGTGACAATGATTGTCCTGCTGGGATCCGAGAACGTGCAAGGATGCGTGGTATTAATTGTGGCTGTACAGCAACACTCGATACAAAGTCAGACAAACACAAACTTAGGATGAGTATATCCATATTTTGTATTTGTTGGAATCTCTTTATTTGAGTAATGAGGTACATTACCAATCCATTGGTTAGTGTTCCCACAAGAGCAAGGATACTGCTTAACACTGATGTTATAATAGCGATGGCCCAAGGCATTGGAGCGTATTTCACTCTATCAACCCAGTAGCGTGAAGTGTTATCCATTTTTTTAATAAACCGGATGGAATTAATGTGCATTTATACCTGCCTTCTCATATAGACATGACAACAAATGCTCCATACATTATGTCGTGGTTTTGATCCGTTAGGTAATCTTTTAGGTTAGTGTAGCTGTTAGAAGATAAACAACCCTAAATAATTGAACACTTTAAAATAGAAACAAAAATAATTCAATAATAATCTCACAAAGTCCCACTTGTGCGTTCCCGATTCAATAAAAAACTCTTAGAATATTTTCTTTAAAGAATGCGTAACTATGAATACAAAATGATCTGCATGATCTGAATCCCCATACGATATTAATGATTAATTATTTTGAAGTGGCCTTTCGCCTTTCGGCTTTATTCTGATAAAACAAGCTACTAGTCCTTTCCATTTTCAGACGTGACTTAAATTGTTTTGACGGAAAACTACTTGAGATCCATATGAGCGTGCAAATATAAATGATTAATGAAGACTATTAATTTCACTACGCTCATTGTCATTGGTCATTCTTTCATTCTGTGTGCTCACACGATGACGTCATTTGTCATTGGCCGCGTATACGTCAATTACGTTCAACCGAGACCAAATCCGAAACGTTTGTATGTAGCCTTCTGGCAATATTATTGGCTTGTATACATATGAAGAACATAAATTTCTATCAACAAAAGAAACTTGCAAATTGATACGCACATTTGTCTTACCAAGTATAGAAGGCAAAAAAGAAAGTTCACAATAGACACATTTGGCAAATATTTGTTTTCCCCTATCCGTAATTTTAGATAACTCATATACCTAATGCTTTAATAGCTAGCTCTATACTTCTGTGAACTACAATAATAGTAATTACGCAGGTGTTATTGAATTGGGCAGTTAAGATGCAAACAATGTTAGACTTCGTTAGTATTCATATAAATCATATGTTTATTTTCACGATTACTGGGCGAAATCATTGGTGTCTCATCTCATCTCAAGTGATTTCGTTAATAAATAGCCTTCGTTAATAAATTGCCTCGAGATTAATTTCTATGTTTTTAATTAAAAACGACATGTGAATCATCAACATAAAAGTTTAAAGGGTAACGATGGAAGATCGTTTATTTACATACATAATGAGGAACCAAGTGTCGAACTTTGAGATACACCATGTGCTACTACATAAGCTTCTGATCATTTACGACCAATTGGTATTGACTGCATGAGTTATATGATACGTAAATCAGGAGGTACAAGTGGAATATTCGAGAGCTTGTGTAAAGAAGTCGACAACGCGAAGACAACGGTTATCAATTCAATCACATTAATTAATCATATAGCTAGATAAATGAACAATTAAAAGTCGAGCAGGATTTTAGACGTCGTGTATATGAAATTCAAACATCTTACATGCATAAACTCCCTAGTTTACATAATTTAGGAAAATGACATAAAAAATTATGTTTGCCAAATTTGAAAGCGCGTTTTGAGAGTTTCCAAAATCCTTTGTACAATTTTTGGGACATTTGAAACTAAAACAAATCCTGTCATCCGCATATTATTTTGTAATTAGAACTATAATTAAATGAGCAAGCAGGGTAGAAGTTTTAAAACTATAATTTAATACGTAAAAGTGTCAGGAAAGCATTGAAAAAAGGTAACCAAGATTGCGTGACTGCCAATTCTCATGCACTCTCATCATGGTTTGATCCGTCCATTATAGGCATTTTAGTTCCGCTGCTCATGAGCAATATTCGTAATCATTTATCACGCGAATAATAAACAAGTACAGCTCGTGCAATTTCAAATTAAATTTAAAGCATCACTTGATTTTGAAGCATCATTTGATTTTAAAGCATCACTTGATTGTAAAGAATCATTTGATTTTTTAAAGTATCACTTGATTTTAAAGCATCATTTAATTTTAAAGCATCACTTGATGCGTACTCTTAATTAAATAGTTAATTGTACTCCCCCATCACATGATTACATGAAATGTTGTATAACTAAATTAACATTTGGACATTGCTAAAGCTTCCATATGGTCGTAACGGTCGTAAAGATTGAGTCACGATCTTTCTCATCAGCCGAAATAAAACATTTTAGAACTGAATTAAAATACGCGGAGTGATTATAACTAGAGAATACTTAATATGATTTATATGTGGTTTACAGGTATATAAACATGTACTATAAACTGGCCATTAATTGGCATTGAGAAAGATCGACATTTTTTTCGACCATTAATTTCGACCATATGAAAACCAGGGTTTAAAGAATGTCTGACATTATAAATTGTGACTGTTAGCGATACGACTGGAAATGAGAATGATATACGATAAATAGAACACTTAGACACTTGGCCTCCTCCGCATTATATATTGCTATTGCTAATTAATTAACTAATTAAAGGAAGTGGAGTTCTTGTTTTTTATTTAAACATATTTTATCCCCCGACATTTTCTCCAAGAGTTGACATATTTTATCCACGACATTTTCTCATGTTGACTTATTTAGAACATATAGAAGGAGAACATCGTGTTTAAATAAAAGGTACACAAATATAATAAAATATAGAGAAAGGAAGTATAGTTAAGCTTAGAAAGAAATATCAAAATCTAAGGATAAGTTGTTCTATTTCAGTTAAACAGGTGAATCGCCTAGTTTGAAGAATAAAGAGTTGAACATTCCGCATGAAGATTCGATTTTTTTCATAACCAAGTATTTCTGAACCATATAGAAATATTTCAACTATCTGATCTTCCAATAGCTAAAGCTTATTAACCATGTAGCGTGGAGCAACTGTGCAGACAAAGAAAGCAAGCGTTGTCGTTGATAATTGATTCCACTATTCCCCATCTACAACACCACTTTAATTTTTAGCATTGGTCAATAATATACCACAAAGTTAATTGATATTATTTCAGTTACGCGTGTAGACAAAACAATTTGAGATATTTTATAACATTTTGTTACCTTTAGAACACTGTAAATCTCCTTCTAAAGTGCAGGAAATTGCATTTCAGAGACTCTAGAAAATTGCATTTCAGAGACTCCTTTTCCGAGGGGCAGGCCCCCGGACCGCCCTTGAATGTCACTCGCCTTCGGCGGGGGCTAAGTGTGCCCCTCCCCACTTTTAGAGCCGCTACGACGCCCCGGTGTACAGTTAATACTATATAAATAGGAATTCAACGTCGTACAACGACCTAGGAGAAGTGTACTACTGTGAATGTAGTATTCAACTGTATTGATTTAACGAGGTGTTATAGAGAGTATTACGAACATGGCTTTTGAATAATGATAGTGATTCTACATTACACAAGTTATTATCAAGTTCATTCCAAGCTGCAATTACTGATGGGAAAAATTTTTTAAAACGTTCAGTACTAGTAGGAATATAGGTAAAATCTTCATTAGATCTAAGGTGGTAATCAGATCTCTGATGGACATATGGAGGTAAAGATCACGAAGGTAGAATGGAGTGAGGCAATTTATTACTTTATAAAGCAACGATAATTTATGTAAAAATATTATAGTTTTTAGATCTTTCCAGCATAATTCGTTCAATAATCGCGCCCTGTTTGTTCCTTTCACTGCTCCAGTAACTATACGAGCCGATCCGTTCTGAATTCCCTCTAAAATATTTGCTTCGCTTTCAGTGCATCCCTCCCAGATGACATCAGCATAATAAGACTTTTATAAGGGTTGATAGTTACTGATCTATGGAGCTTATATTTTACACTTTTTAAGATATTTATCATTTTGCTAGCTTTTTTTATGTATACTTTGAATAATTATGATGAGTCCATGTAAAATTTGACGTAAAATTTTATTGTGTAGCTATGTACACTGTAGATATTGCTGCAAGATATTGCTGCAAGATATTGCTGCAAGCTCCGAAACTTTTTCATCAGAGCAAAACCTCAATACCTAAATAGTCAGGCAGATAAAGGCTCAAAAATATGGAAAACTTACCATATCGTGGGACAATTCCATTTTTCCTTCATATTGTGCCCTGAAGGCTAGTAAGTTCGTTTCTGTATGTTAGCCGCGTTCAAATTTCTTATGTACTCCTGCCAACACGTTTTTCTTCGAATTTTGTATTTGAAACTCTATTACAGTTAAAAAATGTGAAATTTCCGATACATTTCTAATACAAATGACTTGCGTCAATAGAAAGCTAACAAAAAACTACATATAAGACATTTAAATGGTTAGTTGAGATTTTCAAGCGGTTTTCGGGTTATTGCTGTTTTAAATGTGAAAAATAACCCAAAATCCCGCAAAATTCCTGGGTACTAGTCAACCTCGTACCCAGGGACTTTCCTCTTGGGGAGCAAAGACCCTGGTAGACGCTGGTCACGTGATCTGCTAAAATCTAGCAGATTTCTAATTAACTATCTTGGTTTTCTTTACGACAATCATACAAAATGCAAATTATAAATTAAACTATCAAAATAATCCAAATATCAAATGTTTATTGACCTCATCTTGGATTTCTAATTAAAAATCTGCTAGATTTTAGCAGATCACGTGACCAGCGTCTACCAGGGTCTTTGCTCCCCAATAGGAAAGTCCCTGGGTACGAGGTTGGGTACTACAGTCTGAAAACACGCATTCAACAGCTCATAACTAAAGAAGAACTTGAAAATCTTGGGTAACCGTTTAAATGTTTTATATGTAGTTTTTTTGCAAGCTTTCAAATTATGTAAGTCATTTGTGTTAGAAATGTGTTTGAAATTTCACATTTCTTAAAATTCAAAGAAAAACGTGTCGGCCCACACGAAATTTTAACGCCGCCAACCTACAGAAACGTTGGTGTTGTGTACTCAGGTGAATATATGATGTTTGTGATGTTACTCTGAGTGTTTATCCACACCGGGCGAGCTTGAAAAATATGCCCAGCTACGGTGGGAATCGAACCTACAACCTTTGGAATACTAGCCCATATTACTAGATTACATTGGTATCGAAGGAACTAGATTCTGTTCCGAAATATCACTTACTCGAACCGTCCTGACCGCGTAGCTCAGTTGGCAGAGCGTTGGACTAGCATTCCAAAGGTCGTAGGTTCGATTCCCACCGTGGCCGGGCATATTTTTCAAGCTCGCCCGGTGTGGATATACACTCAAAGTAACATCACAAACATCATACAGAAACGTACTTACTAGCCTTCAGGGCACAATATGAAGGCAAAATGGAATTGTCCCACGATATAGTAAGTTTTTCCCTTCTATCTGCCGGACTAAAATAGTTAGTATCCATGGGTGCAAAAAATAATTTACCTCGTGTAAGCAGAGCCTGGAGATAAAAAATTCCAATTCAGTCCTGCCTAACATGGAAAAAGTCCCTATAACTACTGTCCGCTGAGCATGGTTTTAAATCTGATTAATAATATGACCTGTCAACCATGCATGAATTGTTAGAAACACATTGTGCGAAACTGTGTGAGAATTTTCTGCAAATTTTTAAGTTACAAAATTAATGTCTGCAAACTAAAAATTTCCTGTGGCTTTTTAAGACCTTTCAAAAATTCCAGCGAGCGGTGTTCGCATGCTTGAGTATTTTTCCACCTCTGCCAATTGTCTCCTCCAGTGAATGGGTGCAATGAAGAATCAGTATAAAACAGCAATGGGTTTGATAGGCATATATGACCCATCTGAAGATATGATATTTCTTTCATCCGCAGATATCTTATACGTATTTCCTGCCGATTAATTAAGGTGGCTACCTACACTTTTTAAAAATGAAAGATTTTCTGATTTGGACATGAATTTCTGAACAATAATTATTTGTTGAAAAACAAAGAGTATCTGACTTGAATAAAACAATAACTAAGATCCGGAGATTTTAAAAATTTACTCCTAACAGCCGTTGCTATGGCAACAATTACCTTTCAATATGGCGGTGTTTCTGGTTTAAAGTAAATTAACTCGAAAATAAAGCCTGCCGCACACGAGAGCAACTTGCTGAGCTAACCGCCTCGCGAGGCGATTAGCTCAGCACGTTGCTCTCGTGTGCGGATAGTTTTCGTGAGGATTTGACCTCTTGAGGCCTTGAGGAAAATATCTATCGTGTTTGATATTTTTCGCCTAAGTACTGAGCTGTTTGAATCAATTAGCTAATGACAAACCATGGTTTCTTCATGTGACTTGGAACAAAATGTATTGTTGAGTAGCTGAGCTAGCTGCCACGCGAGGCGGTTAGCTCAGCAAGTTGTTCTCGTGAGCGGCGGGTTAAGGTCGGTGATCCCCATTTATTTTATAGCATGATTTCTTTTAGTAGGTTGAATTATTTTCCTGATTTTAAAAAAATTCTGTCATGCCAAATTCTTTTTAAATCGGAAAATGTAATAATTCATAACATATTTTTTTTCGCATGACAATTTTTTTTTCACAATTTTTTGAAAAATCAAAACGATGATTCAAAATACTAAACGAATTATTTTATTAATGAAATAAAAAATGGGGATAATAGTCAGTGTGTTGTGACCCGATATCGTTCACTTTCATTAAGCATGTCTTAGATCTGAAATACTTTGACGGGAACTAACACTTTTAAGCACGCTGAGTTCAAATCCGAAAAGTTCCCACTCCGTAGACCCGCACTTTTCTCACAAAATGCTAGTTTATCTTCAATAATTTCACAGCAAATTTTTTCATTGTTCAACGACACGGATCGATGACGATACACGATTATGTCACTCAAAATGTTCTTGGTCTCCAAGACATCTTTATAGTGCATATCAGGAAAAATTATACGAAAACCACGTTTTTGAAGTTTTTCTAAGTCATCGGACAGGTACTGCGGCAGCGAGTTATGGATTGGTTGCTAGTAGGACACTTACGACAGGATCAATCTTACATAACCTTTAACTAGAAGAATAAATGTTCACATCAATTAGACAAGGATCAGTCCCAAAGTATAAAATGTGCTCTGTAAACTTACGACGAAGTGGAGAAATGTGTGCATGAGCTGTTTATTTGGTGGTTTCAACGTATATGGAAGTTCTCTTTCCAATAATATTCGCTTATCGTACAGTATAACACCAACTGATGTAATAGTTCAAATGCAATGATAAGTTATCTCTTGAATTACATCTCAGAAACTGTGTTGGAAATTTAAATGCTGATCCATTACATGTACATTATCGTTTTACATCGTTGTATAAAATATTTTGATCCGGCGCATGTAAGCAATTATTTCTCAGCCAGAGACATAGCCCAAAGACTTAACATTAATATAACGTCCTTGTAATTTTATAACTAAGGATATTAGAAGGAATTATCTGTACCTCCTCAAAGTTGTAGACAAGATATGTAGTTTACGTCCAACACACGCATAAGATTGCATAGGCCTATAACTCTGAACGATTCGAGCAAAACCGGTCTTTTGTTAAAAGGAAGAATGGTTAATAGAAATTGGTCCTTTTGAGTGACATAATCGTGTATCGTCATCGATCCGTGTCGTTGAACAATGAAAAAATTTGCTGTGAAATTAGTGAAGATAAAATAGCAGTTTGTGAGAAAACTGCGGGTCTACGGAGTGGGAACTTTTCGGATTTGAACTCGGCGTGTTCGAAAGTGTTAGTTCCGGTAAAAATATTTCAGATCTAAGACATGCTTAATGAAAATCGTTTTCTAGGCACTTTTCGAGGGCACAACACACGGACTATAACCATTATATTACATGACATTATTATTCAGCGCGCGCATTCCCTATTCGGGCTTTTCAGTGACCGATTACATCAAGTATTACGCTCATGTTACTTCCTTAGCCTACACGGCAAAAAACGCCGAGCCCGTTGCTCAACAGGACTGAACAATGTTTTGCTGCCCACGTTGTTAACACTTGTGAACAATATTGAACAATATTGTTGAGCGTGAATCGGGTGTAACAGTATTGGCAATATTGTTAACAACTGTGAACAATGTGGGCAGCAAAACATTGTTCAATCCTGTTTTTATCAATATTGCAACAACCTGATCGCTTTTAGCCGTGTAGACTATTTACAATAATTGAGATATTACTTTCCTAACTGTTATCCTAACCCACCCTGTATATACCCAGAGTTTGGCAAATACAACGGATATTGCCGTCATCAACAATAGCATTAATCCTCAAAGGCAAAGACGTATGTAAATTACATGGTCTTAAGCGTTGTGCAATGCAGTAGTTGTTGAAACTAGTACGTGATTTGCACATTTTCACGGTGCATGATTACGGCAACAGTTAATTCGTTGGATGCAATTTGAGGTGTTTTATTTGAATTCGCGGACCATTTTTCCTTAAGGGTACGTTTGAAAGAAACAGGAATACTTTAAGAGACAAATTAAGTATAGTAACGTATACTTTGGCTCAAATACAACAATATAAGCAATTATATTTTCCCCGTTGCGTTGTCGTTGCCGTTCTAGCATACCTAATTTTAGTGTGCAGTGATAACCAATTTGTGCAGTGATAAAAGTAAAATGTGCAGTGATAAAATGTAAAATGTGCAGTGATAAAATTTGCTTTGATAAGTTGTTAATTAACACAAGAGAATGATTCAATTGAAATTGAAATGATGACTGCCAAATTAGCGAATTAAATAATAGTATATGTTTTTTGTACGAAAATCATGAGATTCAGGCAATTTTTAGTTAATATCTGGCTTTTGGTATGTCCGGAAAAAATTTTTGACCCTTAAAATGGCACACTGATCAAAATTTTTTTGGCGACGGGGGGGGGGTCGCCAAAAATTTCCGAATATTCTGAAATTTTCTTAGTCATTCGGAAATTTTTGGCATAAAATGTGCAGTGATAAAAAATTCTTAAAATTAGGTATGCATTGACGGCCTGCCATTTACCGAAGCGGGATACTCGAAACCGGCCGAATACGGACAATCAGCTGAAGTTGCGAACGCATACATAGTAAAATAGTAAATATCACCAATCTACCGGTAATTTCAGGGACAAATCCTACTAAAATACACGATTTCTATAAACAACTGAGATATAACGTTCAAAGTCTTGATACACTTGGCAAATTAGATGATGTGAGAGGAAATGTGCGAGCAACTTTGGACAAGTTAAAGGGAATAAAAGCAGACCTAGTACGCGGAAATGAAGGCTGGCAGAAATGGAGCTTTGATGATCTTCTAAAAGAGCTGAAAAAGTGGAAAGATATCAATCCGATCGAGGAAAAATCAGAGCCAAAAGATCAACTAAAAGGCGGGAAAGGTTCAAGATCGAAGTTTTTCCATGCAAAGGATTCGGGACGCGACACGCGAGAACGAGGTTGTGTGTACTGCGAGGATACCACGCACAAAGGCACGAACTGCCCAAATGTTGTAACAAGAGAACAAAGAAAACAATTCTGGCGGAAAAGAGACTATGCTTCAATTGTACAGGAAGTCAACATCGTGCTGTCAACTGTAAAAGCAAACTCGGATGTCAGAAATGTAACAAGAAACACCATACTTCAATCTGTGAGCAATCAGAACAACTCTTAGTGGCTGGAGGTCATATGAACACGCACGTTACGCACCCAGTGGTTATAGCCGAAGTTGAAGGTGTTAAGTGCAGAGCCCTGCTCGACACCGGGGCAGGCAGTTCCTACGCGTCGGCAGCACTTTTGGATCGCATTCCAAAGCGGCCGTCCAAGAGAGAAATACGAAAAATTGATATGATGCTCGGCGTGACTACGAGGGAAGTCGAATTGTCAACCATTGAAATCAAGGGAACATCGGGTAAATTTTCTATGAAAGTCGAAGTCACAAAGGTGAACAAAGGAGAACTTGTGTTCATAGACAATCCGAGATATCAGAACATGATAGAGCAAAATCCACACTTGAAAGGAGTCATCATGGAAGACATTGATCAGAAAGAGCGACTTCCGGTGCACATCATTCTCGGAGCAAGTGACTACGCAATGTTGAAAACTGATCAGCCACCCAGAGTTGGTAAATTGGGGCAACCAGTAGCTGAGTTGACGCAGTTTGGATGGACCATCATGTCCCCTGGAAAAGAATCCTGCGACGTGACCAACATGCTTTTGACTCAGACATCCCAGGCTGATTACGGAGAACTGTGTCGCCTGGATGTCTTGGGTTTGAAAGATACACCCACCAACGACCAGCACAGTGTATTTGACGAGTTCAAGGAACAACTCACCCGGGACCCAGCTGGTTGGTACGAAACAGGGCTACCGTGGCGCGGCAACCATCCTGTATTACCCAACAACGAAGCTAATAGTTTGCGACGATTAGCAAGTTTAACGAACAGACTCGAGCGGCAAGGTTTGACAACCAAATACGGGGAGATAATGGAGGAACAAAAGGCAGAGGGGAAAATTGAGAAAGCGGAACTGTGGAGCGTAGGAAGAGAATTCTACATCCCTCACAAAGCAGTTATTCGACCTGACGCAGAATCCACAAAAATCCGAGACGTCTATGACGCTTCTGCAAAAGCACATGACGGTGTTCCATCGCTGAATGAGTGTCTACATCCGGGACCTCCATTGCAAATAGATTGATTGATTGATTTATTTGCCAAAAAAAATGAAAGACTGTTAGCTATTTACAAGATATTAATAAAATAAAGTCGGCGAGGAGACCTCAAGAAGCTTAGAGCTTGTGTAAAGAGGCCACCTCATCTCAAAAATTCAAAGTTAAATATTTAATTAATCGGTATAATTTAGGGTTACAGACATATAATATGAAATTGAAATTAAATTACAGACACATATAATGAAATTGAAACATAATGAAGTTTATAATAAGAGAGAAAATTTACGAAAATATATAATTAGATTTTCCAATAATTTTATATATTGTTATACTGCAAAATTTGTCGTACACTCGTACTTTACGAATCTACCACGTGATTTACGACCGGTACGCACACTGAACACGACGACAAGAAATTTAGAGCTATATGAAAGTTGCATGCCATATATGGCTTGCAACAAAAAGTAATCAAAAACTACTGGCTACTTGAAAATTGTAGTTCGCTACAGTAGCGAACTACAAGTACTTCGCTACTTCCTACCCTTGCTCGTTCGCTGCGCTCACTCGTGAGATATCATGTTCAACACTCGAAATAAAACCCATGTATTATTCTCTATTTATTTTTCACCCTAACATGAGATTGGCAATATCCTGTAACCGTTTTTTTATAATCTTGCTAACTTAGTTAGCTTTTTTTAAAAAATGTTTTCATGGTGGAAATTTTCCACTGGAATTTTTTTTCAAAATCCTTACTACGGAAATAGTATGGATCTCAGAGGCGTAGCCAGGGCTGGGGCCGGAGGACCCCCCCCGGCAAAATTTTGGTCCCCCCCTGGCAAAATTTGGGGGGCTGATAAAATGTATTGTACTAGTAAGGGTACCTGCAAG